ACAGACAATGCAATTCAGCACAATCTGGTCCAACTGCAAAAGCAACCCCCAATCAATCAATATGTGGACTAGACGGGCTTCTGGTCTGATCCAGCAAAGCTTTTCTCATGGTGTTAGGGTGCCAACCAAGCAGTTTGTGAACCCCAGAATCAATCCTGGGTTGCAACACCAGCACGACAGGCTCCAGCCAGGGACCCCGATGATGAAAGACAGGCGAAAGGGACCAGGCGAAAGGGAAAGCGCAATGGAATTTGCTACTGTCAGTTAAGAGCGGTGGACCCCAAACTAATGCCCGTGGGCCAGATAAGGCACGAGGGACTCGTTTATCCGGCCCACGGAGACCCCCGCCGCCTGCTGCCGCTGCCTGCTCTTACCGGCACTGCGCTGCACGGCTGCCCACTTCCAGGTCAGAGGAGCACCAGAAATGGCTTGTGCGCATGCGCAAGCATTATTTGCACATGCGCAAGCATTATTTCCAGTGCACATCTGGGTCGGAGGAGGCCTGTGCACATGCGCACAAGCTATTTCCGGTGCTCCTCCGACCCGGAAGTGCGCCGGAAATAGCGTATGGGCATGCGCTCCCCCGCCCTCCGTGCGATCGGAGCTGGAGACACTGGCCCAGGCGCGGTAAGTTTGCTGACCCCTGGTTAAGAGCATCAGAAGAGCCGGCCGGATCAGGCCCATCAAGTCCAGCATTCTGTTTTCCCAGGAGCCCAGGGAGGAACTTCCTCACAGAGACGCTTTGCCTCCTGCAAACATCGACATCCTCCTCTCAACAACTGAAAATGCCCTCGTTTATTCCAGTGGGGTAGGAGAGCTGAAAATAATGCTTTGGTTTCAGATAGTAGGTGAGTAGGAGACTCTTAAAAGCCCCAGACACAAATGTTCATGGCCCTCTAGCAGCTGACCAGAAGTGAAGTCTTTAGCGTTAACTGTTCCACCAGGCCTTTGGCCAGGGCACAGCCTGACTCCCTCCCTCGGCAATCTTCGCGGAGCTCTGGCCCAATGGTTGCCAGTGGCTTGATTTGAATCAATTTTATAATGAATGATTTTAGAGTGTTGTGTTGTGTTGTACTGTTGTACTGGTTTTATTGTTGTTAGCCGCCCTGAGCCCGGCTTCGGCTGGGGAGGGCGGGATATAAATAAAAAAAAACATTATTATTATTATTATTATTACTCTGGAAGAGAGGCGTGGGAAATGTTTCTGGCTGTATATCCAAAACAATTAATTTTGATACTAACTATACTATACTACTGCACTGAAATGTTTAAATGGTTCTTTGATTGTCCTTGAATCTTCCCGCTATACTTGCCATCCTCCCCTGCCACACCCTTGGAGGAACATTGCTCTAACCACTACGCCACACTACCTCTCATACATGCAAGGCGGGGTGGGGGGAGAGAAAGGGGAGCGGCTGGGGCGTCATCTTGCCTTTAGTGTTTATATTTTGAATTGGGTTTGGTATTTCAATGTTTACGTGAAGGCGTCCAGAGAATCTGGTCAGCCTTCGACCAAGAGCCATGAAGATTAAAAACAATACCGTATTGGCCCGAATATAAGCCGCACCCAAATATAAGTCGCACCTTTAAAATTTGGGGGTGGGGGGAGAGAAGAGAGAGAGAGAAGACAATACCCAAATACAGTGGTGCCTCAGGTTAAGTACTTAATTCGTTCCAGAGGTCCGTTCTTAACCTGAAGCACCACTTTAGCTAATGGGACCTCCTGCTGCCGCTGCGCCGCCAGAGCCCGATTTCTGTTCTTATCATGAAGCAAAGTTCTTAACCTGAAGCACTATTTCTGGGTTAGCGGAGTCTGTAACCTGAAGCATATGTAACCTGAAGCATATGTAACCCGAGGTACCACTGCATAAGCCGCTTCCTTAAAATTCCGCAGGCACTCACACCCGTTCCGTTTTACCATATGTCTGTTTCAGCAGCGATATCGTAAAAGAGCCAATTTTTGTAAGTTAAGCCGCACTTTAACTTTTCACGGTCAGAATTTGAGGGGGGGGGTGAAGCATATATTCGGGCCAATATGCTAATCATCCATTTCTCCTCTTCCAAAGAAGAAAAACTGGAACCAATAAGGCAAGGCATCCCAAAACTCGGCCCTCCAGATGTTTTGGGACTACAATTCCCATCATCCCTGACCACTGGTCCTGTTAGCTAGGGATGATGGGAGTTGTAGTCCTAAAACATGGGAGTTGTAGTCCTAAAACATCTGGGGGGCTGAGTTTGGGGGTGCCTGCAATAAGGAGATAAATGAGCTGTCCCTGGAAACTGAGGATGCAGTCTCATGCACCAGGCTAGGAAGTAGCCGAGTCAGACTGGTCTGCCTAGTTCATTATTGTCTACACTGACCGGCAGCCCTGTCTCTCCAGGGTTTCAGACAGAGAGTGTTTGAAAGAGAGAAAAAAGAAAGGAAAGCCATTCAGCTCATGTCCTTCTCTACTTGTTGTGAACTAGGCAGGAATTACTTCTGAGCAGACATGGTGATCACTGAACTGTAAATCCATACACAAATCCATTTTTCTTTACAAATCCCGAATACGCCGTGAACTTGGCCACCGTTTTATTTACTAAGGTTTGGGAAAAGGAGGCCCACACTGAACCTGTCAGCAGAGGCAACAATAATTTTAAGCAGCTCTCCTCCCTGCCACAGCCCCGGTGCCGAACAACGCACAATCTGTCACCAGCTCAGGCATTACGCAAGGAAGAGGTGCAGCACACCAGAGGCACTTGAGAATGTGCTCGAGAAATGGCTGCATTTGTACACAGACACACACACCAGAAAGAGCCTTGCTAAACGCAAAAACTGGTCCAGCACTCAGGCCCCAAACGCAGGCAGGCAGCCGGCGTGCGTCTGATAACCTGACAAGCGGCAACCCCACACTCTACGTTGCATCTCATAGAATTGGGTGGGATCCCCAAAGGCCATCTAGTCCGACCCCCTGCAATGCAGCTGAAGAATCCCTGGGAGATGGATATCCAACCTCGGCTTAAAAACCTCCACCGCCTCCCGAAGGAGACCATTCCACTGTCAAGCAGCTCTTCGCGTCAGAAAGTTCTTCCTGATGTTTGGTCGCAATTCCTTTCTTGTAACATGAAGCCATGGATTCGAGTCCTACCCTCCAGAGCAGCAGAAAAACAAGCTTGCTCCCTCTTCCATGTGACAGCCCGTGAGATATTTGAAGGTGGCTCTCCTATCTCCTCTCAGTCTCCTCTTTTCCTAAGCATACCCAGCTCCTTCAACCGTTCCTCATCAGGCTTGGTTTCCAGACCCTTGGTCATCTTGGTTGCCCTCCTCTGCACACCTTCCTTCTTAAACCGAGGTCCCCAGAACTGGTCACGGGCCTCCAAGTGGGGTCTGACCAAGGCAGAATAGAGTAGAACTAGTACTTCCCTTGACCTCCCCTGCCCCCAACTCCCAGCGGTATACTACCCCTGAACATGGAGGTTCTGTTTTACTATCATGGCGAAGGTCCGCAAAAATAAAAACGTAAATGATTCAGAGGGATCTAAAAGCCTTCAGCCTTCAACCTGCCTGACCCTGTTGGGCCAATGCAGCCCCAATTAGTTACAACGTCATTTCACCCCTTGCTGGGAACTAACTGCCAGATACAAAACAAGGAAGGCTTCTGGGCGAGACCTTAATATCACCAGCAGGTCGTGGGCAATTTAAAATATATACATATATATTATTAGCTTTTCTACAGAAAATCTGGAGGAGACTCTTGAGAGTCCCATGGGCTGCAAGAAGACCAAACCTATCCATTCTGAAGGAAATCAGCCCTGAGTGCTCACTGGAAGGACAGATCCTGAAGCTGAGGCTCCAAGACTTTGGCCACCTCATGAGAAGAGAAGACTCCCTGGAGAAGACACTGATGTTGGGAAAGATGGAGGGCACAAGGAGAAGGGGACGACAGAGGACGAGATGGTTGGACAGTGTTCTCGAAGCTACAAACATGAGTTTGACCAAACTGCGGGAGGCAGTGGAAGACAGGAGTGCCTGGCGTGCTCTGGTCCAGGGGGTCATGAAGAGTCGGACACGACTAAACGACTAAACAACAAGAAGAAAATCTGAAACCTGGTTAAAGGAATAAAGGCTGGCATATCTGTGCCAATGATGTTGTGCGGCACATGAGCAGCATTGATCCCGCCACAGACTCCTGACCTTATGACAGACAAGCCACAGCTCAACCGTAGAGCATCTGCCTTGCAAGCCAAAGGGGGCAGGTTTGATCTCTAGGCAGGGCTGAGGATGCTCAGGAGCGCCATTGTTGCCAGTCAGTGCTGGCAATACTAAGCTAGGCGGGACAGGGATCTGACTCAACAGAAGGCAGCTACTTCCTATGCTCCGAATACCAGCCTGGCCTGGACGCCCCCTCCAACCTTCTTTTCTGGCTCTCCCCAGAATTAGTGGTGATGTTGTTGTTATTTAAATTTGCATAAAAGCAGAAATCCTCCGCCTCTTTGGTGCTACTCATACGAGCCTGCAAAGCAGATACACACACACACTCAGGAAGAACCAACACCAAAACCAGCGCGATTTACTTTGGAATGCACCTGCAGAGCTGTTCCTAACTTCCAGGTACCCTTTTACACCATTCCCGAGCTGTCCCCCAACGCCCCCCGCCCGCTTTTCAAACCGGCGCCACCCGCGCCACCTCTTCACACGTTACGTTTTGCGCGCGTGTATCAAGTGCAAACGCAGCGAAACACGTGCCGCACACACTGCATCAACGTGACCGGACCCGTAGTGCAGCGTACGGTCGCCTCCGGGGGGAAGACACCGCGGCTTGCTGCTGCTGGGTCCACGTCGCCCATACCGGGGCGCAAACGCTCGTCAGAACGCGCCCGACGCGCGTCCCAAGCGCGGCTGCTCCGCAGTCCCGCTCCGGACCCGCATCTCCCTCCAGGCGCGGCCCTGTGAAGCCCCCTTACCTAGGAAAGACCCCCAGCTAGCCATCCTCCCTCTCCGCGGAGCGCGGCGCACTCACCGGGTGCCTTTGTCGCCCATGGCCTCGGCTGGCGGCTCGGCTGCCGGGCGCGGAGAAAGCGAGGGACGGGGGCGCGCTCCTTGGTCGTCCGTCGGCGGGCGATGGGGCTCGGCTTCTCCCGGCCTGCGCAGCCCGGGCAGGGCAGGGACGGAGCTCCGCCCGGCGGCGGCGGATGCTGCGCGTCGGGAGCCACCAGCCGCAGCCAGAGCGCAGCGCAGCGACGGAGCGAGAGGAGAGGAAGCGGCGCCCGCCTCGCAGCAGGAGTCCGCGCGGGGGCGGAGAGGGAGCTGCCCGCTTAGAGACGCCCTGACATGCCTCCCCGCGCCGCCGCCGCCGCCGCCGCCTTCTTCCGGGCCGGGATTGGAGCGCCGCCGCCGCGTAGGGACCGGCCGCTCGCGAGCAGGAGGAGGAGGAGGCGCCGCCAAGCAGCAGCCCAGGCGCGCGCCCCGGATTCCCCTCCTCCGCGCGCGCGTCACGAGCGGCAGACCGCCGAGCCGGCAAACAAAAAAAAAAAACCCAATCCCAAGGATGGCTCGTCCCCGCCCTGCCCGCCTGATCTTGACACGCGGGACAGCGTTCACACGATGCCCCGGCGCGGAAAGGGGCGCGCGGAGCGAGGCTGGTGGAAAGGCTGGCAGGCTGCTAGGATTTTCGCTTTTGAGGAAGGGAGATGGGGCGGGGTGGGGGGAGAGATGCGTAGGATTGTAGAGCTGGGAGGGACCCGAGAGGAGGGTTGCTAACTCGGTCCTGGCAAAAGAAAGGACTGGGAGGGGCGGTTGGGGGGCGATATTTTTTCCCTTTGGTGCTGAAGTGACTTCAAAGCAATCCATTACAGTCTATTGCAGCCTGACCCTCTGGAATTTGTCACACGCATGCCAGCACACACACGTGAATGTGTGAATCTGTCTCTGCTTGGCAACCCAGAGTTTAAATGAATGGCCTTTCGCACACTCTCTCAAACACATGCATTTGGAGAGGACCCCTAACTTGGGGGGAGAGAGGAGACCTGAAATAACGGAGAAAACTCTATCAATACAGGACATAGCATTTGACATTTGAAATATGGGACAATCCTGTATTAGAAAGAACAGGTGGCAATCCTCCCTGAGGGTCATCTAATTCCAACTAGCTGCAATGCAGGGATCTTTCGCCCACGGTGGGGCTTGAACCCACGACCCGAGAGTAAGAGACTCGGCCGCTAATGGTTGGCATCTGCCTGTTCATGCCTCAGGATTCGAGGTGCCTGCTGCTGCCCCTCTGATATTGTCTGAAATCCAGACACCTGGGCAGGAACTTCCCCAGTGGAGTCCGTGAGAAGCGCTCTCATTCTGTCAATAAAGCTTTCTTGTTTTTGCACTTTCACTGAAACCAAGCAATGAGGATGTGATGGAAGACCCTGAACGAACACAGGGCAGGCCAAGACGCCTGCCCTTTCACAAGCGCAAAGGAACCCCCCCCCCCCGAGTGCATAACTCAAGCCAGTGAGCCCAGCTGCAAATAACATGCCGTGGGGGTTAGAGAGAGTGTGTGTGTGTGCTTGTGAATATGCAGGGTGGGAACAAAGAATGCAGCCGTACCTCTGCTCTGGAAACTCCCTGCCCATTGATATTAAGGCAGGTCCCTTCACAGTATTGTTTTTGGCACCTGCTAAAAATACTTTCTGTTCAGGCTACCTTACCCAGGCATGGAATGTTGACATCTATTTTATTTTTTAAGCTGCCAGTTGTGGTGATTAAGCAGCATCTAAACCCGATTAAATAAAATGAATAGGAAACTGCGGGATGAGATCATTGGCCCATTCAGCTCAGCAATGCCTGACTGGTTCTCCCAGCCCTTCTTGGAGATGCAGGATTTGAACCCAAAACCTTCTGCATGCAAAGCAGATGCAAATATTGGAATTACACATTTGGAATTCTAAACCCACCCGGAAGCTGCTGGTGTGGGGCAGGTAATATGGTTACTGTTTAGCAATGTATCAGGGGGTGGGGGAGCTTTTTCATCCCCCCAAGGGCCGCATTCCTTAATGGGCGGCCTTGTGGGGGCCAGAGGTGGGTGGAGCAAGGGATCTGACTCCTTATCTTTGCACAGGAGGCTACATTCCAGCCACATGATGCATTGCGTTTGTTTGCAAAAATATGTTCATTAGGCAAAACTGCATACAGAAACCTGAATATTAAGAGAAAAAACACACGTTTGGGTTACTCTTTTTTTTAATCGCACACTGATCCAGAAATGTGCTGAGCTATGGAAAAATGAGAAACGGGGAGAAACCAGAATGGACCGGTTCAAGCTGTCAGGAAATGCAGTGTTTGGATGCTTGAGTCAGAGGCTTTGCCCATCTAACCCAGTCTTGCACGCTCTGGCTGGCAGCAGCTCCAAAGCCTTGGGCAAGCGCTCTTTCCTTGCCCTACTGCCCAAGATCCATTTTTTATTTAGAGACGATGGGACTTGACACGGGGCCTTCTGCACTCAAAGCATGTGTTCTGCGTAGACACGGGCCTAGGATCTTGTGGTCTCTCATGGAGAGAGTCAGGTCGGCCAGCTGCCTTTCTTCATCAAGAAGCTCTCCCAGGCCTGCAGCAGAGATGCCATGTGCTTTGAACAGAGATGCCAGAACCTTCTACCAGCTTCTAGTTGCAGCTCTGCTGACCAGCCTAGTTCTGTTCCATGCCAATTCTGCATGTGCTCAATCTTTGTTCTGTCCCATTTCCTGTGGATTTTACACACACACAAAAAGAGCTATATGCTTTCTCAGCACCCCTCTTTAAAAAAAGCATCCCACATACATTTTTCTCATTTTTTTAAAAAATTGAAAACTGCATTTCAAAATTTGGAAAAATGTGTAGTCTGTTACAGTACTCTCTTTGTCTGCAGTTACCTTCCCTAAGGACAAAGTGCTCCATCATCTGTCACTCCGTCTCCCATCATCCAATATAAAAGCCATCCGATTGCTCTCCGACTCCCACAGGCTTCTCTCCCCTATCTTGTGGCAGGGAGTTCCAAAGGCATTGGTTTCTTCAAGAAGTGTTTTCCCCAAGCATCGGAGCCTGGGATTGGCCCAGGTGGCCCAAGAAGTGAATCAATGGTTCTCAGCCAGCTGGGAAGCTGGACATCAGAACTGCCTCGGGGGATTGGACCTGGGTTCACCTGGCACGCCATTCCAGCTGCTACCAGGCACATAAGGGGGGAAAGGGCTGTTTAATCACAGAATTGCAGGGTAGGAAGGGACCACTAAAGGTCATCGAGCCCAACCTCTGCATCTGACTTGCTGGAACTATAGTGGAATGGAAGACTCGCAAGGCAGGTGTGGCTATTCTCAGAGGCTTACACCTGCTTTTGGCTTGCTGGCTCCGATCTTGAACTGTATCCTGTTTCCAAAAGTGGCTGTTCGGATGCAAAGTAGGAGGTTGGTCACCTTCTTCACTTCCTTGTCCTCAGCACCTACAGTTCAGAGGTACATTGCCTCTGGAGAAGGATGCTCGTTTGCTTGTTTTATTGCCAACCATATTTATTTCCTGCCCGGCAACAAAGTTCTCTGGGCAGCTTGCAATAAATACAGTGGTACCTTGGTTCTCAAATGCCTTGGAACTCAAACAACTTGGAACCCAAACACTGCAAACCCAGAAGTAAGTGTTCCAGTTTGCGAACATTTTTCAGAAGCCGAATGTGCTCCCATTTTGAGTGTTACGCTTCTGATTTGAGTGTTACGATGAGGTCTGTCTGTTTTTGGTATTTATTTTGCGTTTTTGTTTTTTCAGTTTTTTTGTTTTGTTTCTGTGACTGTGTGGAACCCAGTTCAGCAACTGATTGATTGATTGATTGATTGTGTGACTGCAGTACACTGTTGATTGCTTGCATTTTATGGATCAATGGTATCGTTAGATAGTAAAATCCATGTTAAATTGCTGTTTTAGGGGTTGTTTTTAAAAGTCTGGAACGGATTAATCCATTTTGCATTATTTTCTATGGAGAAGCACGCCTTGGTTTTGGAACACTTTGGTTTTGGAATGGACTTCCAGAACGGGTTAAGTTTGAGAACCAAGGTACCAAGGTATAGCTATTATTGCCAGCAATGATTAGGTTCCACCAATTGCTCTCAAATTTGTCCAGCTCTCTTGCAAAGCCGTCTCAGCTACCAAAAGTCAGCAGGCAAAAGCTGGGAACTGCCTTGCCTTTTGCAGACCCTCCATGATGGCCGGAGTCTCTTCTCTCGGACCTGAAGGTGCTGTGTGAGAGGCCCACCCTTTTCTTTCCTGTTCTGGCTGCTTGGAGACAGAGGTCTGTGCTTACTTGCACATGGGGAGCCAGCCCACAGACTTGTGACGTCCCTGGACATTCTCTTGAGCCCAGAGACCAGCAGCAACAGACACAGGTAGCCTCAGAGGGAGACAGGAGCCTGATATTGTCCTCATCTCCAGGTGGCCACAGGGCGAGAGCTCAGCTCCAGAGGACCACCTTCCTGCTTCGGTCCACACTCCCAATGTAGGCTCCCGAGGGGCTCCAGGCCACAGCGTTCACAGGTGAGCTGGAGGCACAAGGAAGGAAAACAGAGAGGCACCACAATGACAGATCATACCCACTCCTTGGACCATATTAAGAGGGTGCTACATTATCAGGGATGCAGGTGGCGCTGTGGGTTAAACCACAGAGCCTAGGGCTTGCCGATCAGAAGGTCAGCGGTTCGAATCCCTGCGACGGAGTGAGCTCCCGTTGCTCGGTCCCAGCTCCAGTGTGGTGTAGTGGTTAAGAGCGATAGACTCGTAATCTGGTGAACCGGGTTCGCGTCTCCGCTCCTCCACATGCAGCTGCTGGGTGACCTTGGGCCAGTCACACTTCTGTGAAGTCTCTCAGCCCCACTCACCTCACAGAGTGTTTGTTGTGGGGGAGGAAGGGAAAGGAGAATGTTAGCCGCTTTGAGACTCCTGAAGGGGAGTGAAAGGCGGGATATCAAATCCAAACTCTTCTTCTTCTTCTTCTTCTTCTCCTGCCAACCTAGCAGTTCGAAAGTGCGTCAAAGTGCAAGTAGATAAATAGGTACCGCTCCAGTGGGAAGGTACACAACATTTCCGTGCACTGCTCTGGTTAGTCATGCTGGCCATATGACCCAGAAGCTGTACACCAGCTCCCTCGGCCAATAAAGCAAGATGAGTGCCGCAGCCCCAGAGTCAGCCACAACTGGACCTAATGGTCAGGGATCCCTTTACCTTTACTATTATTATTATTAATAATAATAATATTAATATACCACCCTATACCAAAAATGTCCACAAATTCTAGGCAAAAAAAAAAAGGTAAAGGACCCCTGAATGGTTAAGTCCAGTCAAAGGCAACTATGGGGTTGTGGAGCTCATCTCACTTTCAGGACGAGGGAGCCGGTGTTTGTCCACAGACAGCTTTCTGGGTCATGTGCCCACAGGACTAAACCGCTTCTGGCGCAATGGAACATTGTGACGGAAACCAGAGTGCACGGAAACTCAATTTACCTTCCCGCCACAGCAATACCTATTTATCTACTTGCACTGGTGTGCTTTCAAACTGCTAGGTTGGCAGGAGCTGGGGCAGAGCAATGGGAGCTCACCCCGTCACGGGGATTCGAACCGCCGACCTTCTGATCAGGGATGACAGCCTGAGAGAAAAGGGGGAGGCTCTTTTTTAAAAAAAAATCCAGATTTTGGAACCCTAGAAGGTTCTCACCTGTGCACTCCAGGCAGGCTGGTCTCTAGCTTCCCCGTCTCCATGTTCCACAGGTAGAGAGCGCCGTCTGCGGAGCCAACCAGGGCATAGCTTTTATCGGGGCTGGAGAAAGAGGGAAGGAACGCCTGTCAATCAGTGGGATGAAGGAGAC